TCTTCTAAATGCAAATTTTGTCACTGTTTTGGAGCACACTGCCTTTTAAATAACCTTAAGACTAACATATTGATACTAACACCCAATAAACTTTCATTTTGATTTCATGGGGACTTTAAAGCAAAAGAAAAAGAGAGACAAACAAAACCTGTTAAATTTCCCAATAACATTTTATGCTAATTAACTAATGTCTAATGAACCTGTTTATTCATTCATTTATTTGTTTGTTTGTTTATGCATGCTTGTGGTCTCAAACTTTTGGTTTCAGATATTTAGAAGAAAAATGTGTCATCTCGTTCACACTTATATAATGCAGTTCCAAGCCCATTTTATTGTCTTTTTTCAGTGAAGCATAAACATCTTATTGAATGTTACACAAAATAAATTTGGATTTGGAACGGCACGAGGGTGGGAAATAATGACAGAATGAAACAATTATTTTAATTCTTTCAGTTCTTTGAAGTGGGCCCACTAGTAAATGTCATCCAGACATGGCTTTGCAGATATTCATATATTCTATTATTTTTTTCTTTTAGCATATGAATTACAAAACTGTCAAGACCCATATCCATTCCACAACGGGTATATCATCAACAGCGATTTCAACGCAGGCCAGTCCATAACATTTGAATGCTTCCCTGGATATGTGTTGGTCGGCCACCATGTGCTAACATGCCAGCATGGAATCAACAGGAAGTGGAACCACCCTTTTCCTCGCTGTGAAGGTAAAGTGAAGGGAAGAAAGTAAAGAAATGTGCTCTTTTTCCTTCTCAAGTTTTTCAAGTCGTGTTGTGATTAGCACACTGTTATTTTCAGTCCTCTTTGTCCACACTTTGAAACAAAAAGCATAAATAATTTACAAAGGTATTATACTCTCCCAAATGCCTTTTTAACTATGCTTTTTAAGTGATGTGTTACTACTTTGTATTACTAGTACAATAAAAGCCATTGTGTTTTAAAGCCATCTTTAAAACAGACTTTGAAGACCTGAACAGTGGAGACATATGCTACTGGGAGCTGTTCTATATTGTAGCCTTGATGATTAGCCTGGGTAGTGTAGTGTGAAAGCCGACCTGTCTCTTATCGATCAGTCGCTCGACTTGTTCCTCCTAGGCTTC